TAGACACTTTCGTATAGCAACAACGACGCACAAGAATAGCACTATTATTAGAACAACAACTAATAATAATACTTAGTCGAAGGGCGATAAAATTCGACGCCTCAAAATTAAGGAATTCCTTATACTCGTTCTAGCCGTTCCTTGTGAATAAAAATCGTAGACAATAATTTAATTGATTCCACTACCGATCGTAGCATTTTATTTAATGGAATTTTATAAGTAGGTGAGGGCCCACTTTTTGGACCCTGTCACGAACCAAAATTTGTTTTATGTTTCGGGGGCGCACTTTGATTGTTACTTTGATTGTCACTTTTATGAGGGGCTCATTTTGACAGTACACTTTTGTGACGATGAGAATGCAAAGTGGTACAAAATTCCGTGAATAAGTTGCTTATATAAAAACTTTTTAACCGTTTGTTAGTAAACAAACAAAAGAGGCGTCTAATTGTGAATGTTGACTGAATCTGGCAAGTAGATAATTACAGAAACTCAAACTTTAGAAAATTTTACATTTTCGACAAATTTTAAATTTAATGACTCGAGGACGCATTGCAATTAGTTTCTTTGAGTTACATTAAAACGAAAGATTTCACGTAAATTTTCGGAAATCTTTATCTTTGACGTGACGTAAGCCTTTATTTTCGCTCAATATTTATACAAAGTTGCTGAAAGTTATAAAGTGTATGCACATAGACATCGTGAACAAGTTTACTTGCACCATGACCGATTTGTGTTAATAAAAATTTAGTTTACATATTGGATCACTTTAACGAGAACTTCGTGGTGATCGGTCACTTTTGTCCGGGCACTGTACAATTCTGCATGTAATTGTGTAGTCACTTTAATAAAGTATGATTGCGATGACTATAAATCTTCTTTGTTTTTGATCCTAATCGACTCTATTATATGCATTATCGAAATTCTGTAATTCGCCAAATCACCCTTGTCTACCTTAGTATTTATCGCATTTGATATCGAGAAACGAATTCTTTGCCAAATCGATCATCTGTTAATATTATGAAACTCGGTATTCTATTCTTGACAACATATTTCTTGTTCTTTAACACTTCACCTAAAGTAACTTCTTTTTCAGTATTCACCAGCGTAACTTTGTCTCCGTCATCTGAATCGGTCTCAAAATAAATCTTTATCGTCTTGGGTGTATATCTGGAATCCTTATCCCAAGGTGCAGCCGACTCGAACATCACCTCGAGATGATCGAGAAAAGTATTGTCTTCATGGAACTGATTTATAAAATCAGATTCGCGATATTCAGGGTATAGGAAGAATACCGGCCAAATTAACCTATCCGGGTTTTCAGGGTCTAGATGCACTTGTGCATCTGTTGAGGGGGCATCAGATGTAGTTTTCGTACGGATGCCGCGAGACTAGAATGCAAAGAACGTAAGAATAAAAGTCGAATCAAGTACTCTGGAGATCACATAGTTTACGACGGCAGTACATTGATGGCTTTGTCGATAGCCTCCTTAGTTTCGCGTTCTTTCCGATCACGTTCATTCTTCTCACGTCTCTTTTGATCCAGGACTTCTTTACGCTTCAAACACTTTTGCTTCTCGGTTTGAAAGGCTTTATTTTGCGGTTCGATCTGTGATAAAAGAGTATCCTTCCCATATAAAGTTGCTGAAAATGCACGCAACAATGCAATTTTAAGCATTACCTGTAGACCCCTTTCACAGCAATCAAGAGCTTCCTCGATCTTATCAAGTGCATAAAGTGCTTTTGCAGACCGATAGTAAGCCTTTACATTTCTCGGATTAAGCTTTAGAGCCTGTGCGCAATCATTTAAAACCCTACGGTAATTTTCTAAGAAGATTAAGCTCCAACTGAGGCTAAATAGACGCTTCAAAATGAGTTGAATTACTCACGTAACTCCAGATTAACGGCAGCGCGATTTACATAAATAATTTCGATCAATTTCATGTCATTGCACTGGGCTTCCAATGCCTTTGTGTAATAAGTGTTTGCATCTTGGTAATGCTCACGACCAGATTTGAATGCTTCATTTCCCTGATTCTTGAAATTCTCGGCAACTTCTGTAAATGTAGAAATGGAACGTGAGTAATGTTTCAAGACGCAAATAAAAACGAATATGGAACGGCCTGTCAGCATTCTATTTGGTGTATTGGGACTAAATTTCTATACGGATTAACTAACGTACCTTCAGCCGGACCATCATAAATCAAACTCTGTAATGCAGCCAGTGTGTCATTATCTTCTTCGGGGAGTTCGGTCATGAATAATGGAATCTTGTTGAATTCTCTCGCAAGGTCATCGGGATTTACATTACCGAGACCTCCATCAAACCTCGCATTCTGAGGACCGCATGTGCGATCTGTCATGTTTGTCTGTTTAACAAGCTTTTATTATAATGTTGTTCATAAATTTAAAAATTCTACCAATTCACATGACTATGCTGAAATATGATTGGATGATCTTGGCTAAAAAATCTCAACATTGCAAACAATCTTGCAAGAAAGAACATGAGCCAACCGCTGCGAGTATACTTGCGAATATGGCCACATATCCAAAATTTTCATGATGGAAAAAAGATCTACAATTTTCTCAAAACGTATGGAGACATTGAAATTTTTCACATCAGACGGGTAAGTGAAAAGCTTCGCGCCTTACGACAATCGAATGTGCTGACCTGACTAGAACAATCATCATTATCCAATAGGAAACTGAGACTGGAAACTATCAACATATAGGCTTTGTTCAATATAAAGAATATGAGGAAGGCAAACATTTGATTTCGAAAAACTATTATAGTTTCAACTCGATGACGATGAAAGTCGAGATGTCCGACCCCATAAGTATGGCAAACCAATTTGTTTTTAGCCCATTTCAACGTTTATTTTATTTTGTTTCATATGTAGCCAATATATACGGTGATGCAAGCGCGTATCTGCGGCCTTTTAATAATATGCAAAGGACTTGGGCATGGAAAGGTTTCTATACGATGGATTCGACTTTTATCGGTGAAATAAAACAAGAGAGTACAGCAGCGGAATCTCAATACGATGAATCAATGAAGACAGTGTTATAGTAATAGGGAAGAATTGTTAAATCTTTGGAGTCTTGATATTGGGTATTAGACCTCACAACATTATTGTAAATTTGTTTATTTTGTTGGACACCAATTGATATTAATATGCAAAGTGCAAAAATCAGTATATTATTCATCCATAGAAGCATTTTTGGCTGAACTGTCTATAAGTAAAGAGTATAATAGTAATCGGTGCAATAAGAATAAATTTTAAGATTACAGTATATATATAATAATTCATAGATCAAAAACAGAAGTTTTTTCAAGGCTCTATTTGTTAATACTAATATTAAGCAACTAATAAATTTTGAAATCAGCAGAGTATCTATTAATCAATAAAAGATTAAGTTAGATCATTGGCAATATTAATTATCTGCAGAGACCAGGGTTTTACTTCAAGGAATTAACTCTGGACCAGCTAGAATGCATACATTTATTTATGTAATAAATTTTGCCTTTCTGGGTGCAAACTCTTTGGTATAAATATTAGCATTCTCTAGCCCACTCTAAAGCTGAAATCAAAAACTGCTCTGAGTGTTGGTAAAAATCCGTTCCAGAGCTGAAACATGTGTAAGCATTAGTCCAGCGCTTCTATATGATAAACAGATGAATAGGAATGCCATTTTATAGGCTTTAAATAACCGTGGGATAAGAAACGATGTATTCGATTTTATGAATCTAAATAATTTTTACAATAAAAAACCAGCACTCTTAATTTTAGCAACATAAAAAATAATGCATTCGATTTTAATGATTTAAAACTGATGTAATGTTTTTCACTTTTGAGTTTGCAAGTTTAAGACTGCTAAATAGCAAAATAAATCACAAATGCATATAGTAATAGTATTTACCATAAGTGGAGCCACTGTGCAAAGCGAAACACAGGTAAACAAATTGTGAATGCATATCTTCTGAGGTCTATAACTGAAGAAGGGGAAAAGAAAACATTCAGCCTATCCTCAATCAAAAGGATAGATTAACTGATACCCGAACGATTACGATATATTTGTTCTGAGGTCTATGACTGAAGGAAAGCTTTATCCCGGAGCCTATTAATATACTGGGCCACATAATATTTCCTCGCATGCTTCCCACATAGGCCCGGTTCGGAGCTAGTCGGCTTGCCGCAGGTCTTACAAGGAAGGCGTCTTTTAGCTTTCCAATGTTCATGACACCGTTCCGGACGACGGCAACTCCGTCCACAGACTGCTCCAGACCTGAGCAGGTAGTTACAAGAATATTCGCCGTACATGTTATCCTTCTTTCTCACTGGGTTCGAAAAAAGATTAATGGTTATCAATAAAGTTCATTAATAACAGGTTGCCTATATCTACCTTCGAGTCTATGCGAGAAGGTAGGATTGTTTTATTTTAAACAAAAGTTTTCGCTATATCAATACAGCGGAATACTTCACTCAAACATACAATGATAACTCCGGGCCCTCGATGCGGATAAGATAACTTTCTGATCGAGGTATACACTTGAATAGGAAACATGCGTGTCCAATTGGTACTACTCAACTAGTTGTTCAGCACCTAAGCCACTCCAGTGCATACAAAGTTAACTATAATAGGTATCCAGAAGAAACATGACTTGCAGGTAGAGTGGGCGAGATTAATTACAGACGTGACGAAGACGACAAGGTCGACGAAGTTACTGGTATATTTCCAGCACATGAGGTAGCAAGGTGTTACAAAATGCAGACTTGTAAAGAGTATTGTTAGTAATGGCACTGCAGATGGATCGATAACATTTTTATTTATTAACATAAAATAAGCACCTCCAGCACTCGTATAAAATAATGTGCGCAATAAAGTCAGGCAAAGTGAAATTGCTGTTGTGGCTGAAAAATACTTAATATTAAGTTGAATGGTACACAGCTATGCTCATGTTTGAATTATGGACTAACTTTTAAATCTATATCAAAATGTAAACTTGGCTCAGATAAATGTTTTACTTGAAGTTATCATTTAATATTAATGAACAATGACGTGTCAGAAAAAGATTTTCAAATGAGTTGCCCATACATATGTCGGTGAATTCACGTGAGTCAACCATTCGAGGCGGTTTACCCTGCAAACTTATTCAGAATCAGAACAGTATTATTATGTACGTACGTATTTGACCACCTTTTAGATCGATAAGATTTAGTATGCAACATTATGGGCGAGCTATGTTCGATGCCTGATTCTGCAACAGATGAATGAATACAAGAAACTTGTTGTGATGCTGAACGCGGATAATTCTGACAGCAATGCATAGCTTACCATTTATCATAACAAAGTAAATTTATCACTTCGCGAAAAAGAGAGTAAAAGCTCTTTACCTACAAGAGAATTACCTAAACCAAGAAATAACTATAATTTGGGTTCAGCCGCAGTCAATACGGGGCAGATGGTCAAATTTGGAAGTTGTACAAAGTAGGGGCATCATCAGAATAGAATATGCAGATAAATGTGATAAAATTCATATGTGACTGCAATTAAGCATACGCGCATAAATAACGCCCTTCCGTATACTGTTAGTGATGATGTTATCTATCAGCCGGAAAACACTTATTGCCTTCATAGTAACAGAAGTAATAAAACCTAAACAAGAATTGATGCAAGATTAATTGATATCGAATTGGCATTTCTGTTTCCATATCTTAATGACGAGAGCAAGTATAATAGTTTTAAATCTTATTTTCGCATTACGTTTAATCGACTCTGCTTGGTATCCTACAGTAACTATTTATCCACACCCTTTCGACCTCAAACTCCTAAGTTGCATTGTGATTCAACGATTAGAAAATCTGGGATATCGCCAACTAGAACAAATGTTTGGTGTTAGCCAAGGATCAGTCGCACATTTTACTAAACGATTATTGTCATCATTTGTATCAATCAAACCCCATACGTTGTATAATAAAGGATCCGAGGTTTTTTTTCTTCTTAGGCATTGCAATGAATGAAAAAAAAAAGTTCTTGACTCAAGTTAATAAATAATGCATGTTCTATCCCATGTACTGCTCTCGTCAGATCACATCGATCATGAGATGTCAGGCAAAAGTTTGAATTATGTTCATATGAAAAATAAACATTTTCCAATTAGGGATGCCCCTTGATGCGCCCTGCCAAATAACTTCCATTTTTATCATCGATTTCCAAATTTGATCGGGGCGTCAAGCTGTTGAGGGGTAAATCATTTAAGAAAATATAGAGTACATTATTTATTAAAAAGTAAATATTGAGAACCAATTGTCTGAGTTTGATGCTAATAGTTAATTGCTTCGAGTTCGGTTCACTGGGCGGTGAAGCTTCATTGTCAATTTCAGCACCATTCAGTTGATGTGTGCTTCTTGACATGGAGCAGACTGCAACAGGACCAGACAAAGTGAATATTTGATCATCTGAACTCAAAAATGACTGGTGTGGCTGTAAATTGACCAATGTTACTGATGGCGGCTTTGACACATAATAGTAATAGTACTCATGCATAACTTGTGGACTTGTTAATATTAACATTAAATCTATCATTCCAGGGTGTAATTAACATTTCAAGTTGGCTGAGATTAATATAGGATTATCTCTGAATATAAACGTGTACATCAAATCCACTATGAAAACTTTCCGACGGAAGCTTTTGCTCTTCCTACTTCAAACTAAACAATGATCCTGATGTAAAGGTACCAAATAGAATTGATTGGCAAGTATCAATCCTATTCGCCGATGACGGGAAAAGCGGGTTACCCTTCGCCAACGACGCAAGTATCTTATTACCGAAATAACAATATTTAAATATGATTTTATTAGAATAAAAGGGACTATTCTAATAGCAACGTCTTGCTGAAGATATGATCTGAAGATAGATGTGCTTACTACGACTCGGATTTATCGCGTTGTCAGAAAATTTCGATATGTCGGGTTAACAACTCTACGAAACAAAATCAATTCAACTTGACAATATTCACCTACAATGATAAATGTCATAGCCAACTTTTACTTACCACTTTCATTCCGAGGTCAGATTTAAAGTTCGACGATGAAGGAGTCGACAATTTAAATGGCTTTGGTGGATGAAATTTTTGACTTGAAAGCTGAGCATATATAAAGTGCGTGTCATTTTGACTGTTGCTGTGATTGAAGTTGATGGTGGAAATTTATCCATTCTGGAGTAAGTAAATTTATTCACAGACGTTTCTCTATACATGGCAATCACAGGCTCAAAATACTCTCAAAGAAATGGGTTCACGCCTCGACTGCCAATGCAAGGTCTTTTTTGTGCGACGAATTGTGGTGTATGACATCAAGC